GAAAAGGCAAAAAGACACTTTTGGATTTCTCCATCCGAGTGGTTCTGTGATTCATTATGTTTTCTAGACAGCAGCACATGGAGTTCCAGCAAAGGAAGGGGAGCAAAAATGCCTCGTAGACCACATTTGGAGTCCCCTGGCTTTGCCTTTCCTTTCCTCCATCTGCCACAGGCCAATTGGCTTTCAGCTGCTGTTCCTGTTTTTAGTATACATACTCCCCAAGCCACCCTCAGCTGCTACGATGGAACTGGGGGACTGCTGAGACACAGACAGGAAGACTTCCAGCTACCACAGCTGTGGCTTTATCACCAGGACCCAGAGTTTCTGCAGACTCTTTGCAAGTCTCTCTGTCAGGAAACTCAGGTCTTTTGCTTTCTTCATAGTGGGCTGTCCCATTCCCAATCACGGTCCTTTCCTGAGTAGGCAGACTCTTCCCCAGGGAAAATATGAGTGTGAGTATCCTCAGAAGGAGAGAGGACACTGGGAAAGATCCTGGGGGCTCAGACAAACAGACATGGAAAGACAACAGAGCTATAACACTGGGATACAAATATTTTGCCACAGAAGCCAGGATGATACAGTGAGTAGCTAGAGATCGCCAAATAGTGTGGATCGACTTGGAGAAATACTTGGAATGGCTGGTGTCCTGGATTCAAGAAGGCATCTTTTGTGGAGCAGCCACAGGAAATCCTATGCCTCAGAGACAATTTCATGCTGTGAGAGGCAGGAACACAGATTTGCAGTGGGTATAGATGTTGTTTACCTGTGTGTTATTTGTTGGTTGGTTCTGAACATGAGAGAAGCACCCAGCTGCTGCCCTGCCCAAGATTTGAGAGGTAGAATGGGTGGAAGAATAAGCAAGTAGTGACACATGGTTTTTTAGCACATTTCTGAGTTCTAAAATAACTAGGATTCTTGCTTTGGCATCTAGTGGAGTGACTGGGGTTGGGATACCTGACAATATTCCAGTTTATACAAAGAAACCAGGGGGCTGGGACCAGGGCTGATTTTGTGCTAAATGAGAAAGCAAAGCTGATTCTCACATTCACCTTATAAATAGGAAGTATGACTTATTACACAGGCCTAGAGGCTTTGTGTAACCAGGTCGCAGAAATTATATCATATAAAACTCTCAATAAATGATCTACCAACAAATACCACAGGCTTACTCTATGCCACACCCCAAAAGGAATTGTCTGCTAGAGATGCTCCATGGCAGTGACAGGGGCCAGCCCTTCTTCCTGCAGCTTCTGAAACTAATTGCCAATACCCTGTTACCTGCCCATAAGTGGCAGTGCCCAGGATACAGTGGTGGAAGCTGCTCTTGATCTGCAGAGCAGGGGAGAGGAAGAGGCCCTCACAGAAAGGCAATCCCTGCAGGCTTCTTCCCTGCCTGTAGGATTCCGAAGGACTGAGGCAAACCCAGGAAACAGTCCAGCTAAGAAGCTTCGGGCTATATTCCCCTGGGAGAGAGAAGTTGCTGGAGAGGATTTTTATTTTTACAGCCCTCATTCCCACTGCAGGGGAGGGGGGGATTGCAGACACCGAGGAAAAGTTCGGATCAGGAAGGAAGCATTCCACTAGACATGTATTTTATACTTTCTGCTTTTTAATATTCATTCTCTAGTTTAGTCTCAAGAAATATTACTGAAAAACTCTAGGGGCTGGAGGTCTAGCTTAGCGGCATAAGCACCTGACTTGCAAGCAGGCAGTTGTGAGTTCGATCCCTGGTACTAATAAAAAGGAAAAAAAAACAAACTCTAGAGGGCATGAGTAAGGATTGTAATGATTCCTAATATCAACTGTGCTTCTACTGTTTTTCCTCCTAAGGTTCCCTTCCACTAGGTGGAATTTTAAATTTGAACAACGGTTCAAAGGCTACGAGACAAACTGCTCATTACTGAAAAGAGTGCCAGGAATCCTAGCAAGTGGACCTCACGCCCCCCTGGAACACTACACCTCATAGTAACGGCTGCTTTCATAGTCACGGGAAGGTTGAATCAGCACTTCTTTTCATTTCCATCTTCTTTCAGGAACTGCTGGGATAAAAGGGAGCCTCAGCAAATAAAAAATTCACAAACAGGACAAGAATAAAATATTTAGGGCAAGAGATCAGAAATCCTTTGGTTCGTGAACTGAGTAACACTATCCAAAAAAAAAAGTATAAGGAAGTAAACGTCTATCAAAGTCCACATCACAGCAGGTATTAGTCTCTAGACCCCCTTCACACAGGCTGTAAGTACAGTTGTCCTGCACAGTAGGTTGAAGAGACTTACATTAATGCAGTGATCAAATGGAATTTTGTCATTGTTAACGTCAGTCCTAGTAGTAATTATGTATTTATTCTGGGGTGCATCCCTCCAAAATTGTTAAATGACCTAGACCCTCAAACTTCTCATCCCTAATTCTAGTCAGTGTCAGATGGGAGGACTGAAAATGTTATTAGGTTCCTCAAAGAAGAGGAATTTTTGAAGGTCAGTTTTGAGGAAGCACTTCAAACTTTCCATCTTTAGCTCTTTTTCCCAAATACAACAGATGCCTTCTGAAAGGGAAGGTTTACAGCAACAGCTGAGTACTGTACTAAAATCTCTATTCCCTATTAATGGATCTTCTCTGAGTACTTATCAAAAGTACTTTGAACATCTGGCTTTCACATGGCAGTCAAAAATTTTTTTCAAGGCTGAGGATGTAGCTCGGTGGTATGGTGTTTGCCTAGCATGAGGTAAGGCTTGAGAGTTCTATTTTTGGCAGTGCAAAGGTAGAACAAAAAGAAAAATCCAGACCCAGTGCTATGGCTAATTTGATTAAAAGAACTCCTTCCAGAGCTGTCAAAAATGGTTAAATACTAAAACTATGATTTTGTTTCTAATCACACAGCATCTGATTTACTTAGATGATAACTTTATCTTGGCATCAAGCAGGCTCTTGTCCAAGACCTATCAATGAGCATGGCTTAAAAATATTCTATGCCCAAGCAATGCAGGTTAAAAATAACTCTGTGAGCTATTTTTTCTTTACTCATCCACAGAATGCATTTGTATGTCAACAAGAACTCTGCGCCTGAGTTTTCACTCCTGCTTACTCCCTCCTGAAAATAGACTTGTTTGATATCATCCAGGGAAGTCAAGAGGGTTGGTGTAAGACATAGCAACAAAACTGTGCTGGTGGAACAAAGCTTCATGACTGCCAAGTGTCCAGAGAAAAACAGAATAAAAGAAGCCAGCATTCACAGGTAGGATATTTTAAAAACAGATTCTCCTGTTGTACAAATACAATTTTTATCACAGTATATGATCTATGTACAGCATGTACTTTTATATTAACAATAATTCAGTACTTATATTTGTATTACTTTTCTAAGACCATTAACTCATTAATTTTCACAGCTTTATGAAGTATTCCAATTTCACACTTGAAAAAATTAAAGCAGAGATGAAACAACTTGCCCAAGGTCCCAGCCACCATACAAAAATCTAGGTAGCCCATACTCTAACCATTACACTATCTGTGCTATGCAACAATAAAGATGAGTTTTAGAAATTTCCTACACAGCTTTATCCCTCTATCAAATACGCTGATTTACATTCTCTAAATTAAGCAGACACATGTCCCATAGTTGATCTTAATGTGAAACCAAGGAGCAACAGGAACTTTAGTCTCTTCCAAAACATACAGCTCTCTTTTAACACACCAAATGTTACCCCCTTTTGAATATAAAAATGCAATGCAATAACTGGTAAGCATAATTACTTTCTAGCAACAGGAAATGTTTGCAGAATCAGGGTCCTGGACACCTTCAACTCAAGCAGTCACTACTCAGTGGACCTTTGGTAGCTATCACAGAATTTAGGTACCTAATCGCTGAAAAAGAAATTTAACAAGACCCTGATTAGAGAATGTCTTATTTTATATGTATATTATGGTGATAAAGCATAAAGTAAGTTTCTTATGCTTTAGAAACCACTAACAGATTTGCAGAAACAATGCAATGATCTACTCTGCTGTGCGTAAGTTCATATAATTAGAACTTTGGCTAAAGCCAATTCATCATTTATATGCTTTGGCTTAAAGACTAAAACCTTTATGTTAAGCTTTGTCTCTCAATTTCTTCCTATCTCTTATACACTCTATTTACTTATAAACTGGTACTATGTTTTAAAGTACTGGCAACTACATTTTAAAACACCACTGTCCAATTGGTTTGCTTCTAAAATAGAGAATAAAAACTTGAAATATGGAACATTCTACTTTAGTCAAGGTTTCCTTTAAAGCAGTAATTTTAGTAAAATGAGTTGGCTGTTCTCACCTAAATATTACCATGACTGAAACACTGATGTCATTACTTAGGTGACAAAAGCAATCGGGAAGTTTTGCTAAATGAAATTTAGCCAGCTCTCCTTGGCCTCCTTGTCTGGTTTGACACACAATTTCACTTTCCTCAATGTATTTACTGTCTACAGCTATATCAGTAAAAGAATAAAAATGGGAAATTTCAATCCTGACAGCTAGTGGAATGCAGAGGTGGACTTGACCCTTTGGGCAGCTTCTTCACATGTCCTGTTCCAACAGGCTCCAAGTAAGCTACTATCATTTCTTCAAATCTAAAAGATGACTTATGGTATACAGCTTAACATGACACAGCAAAGTTTGGTGAAAAACACTTTTGTGAATAGGAAGGGCTTCAAAAGTTGCTACTTATTTTTTTGGAACAGACACCATCAGATTGGCCTGTAGGAAATCAAACTGGCCTAAACTGAGTCTAGGAAAGGCAGCTGCAGTAGCAGGTTTCAAGAAATTAGCAGTCGCTGATACTGGTCTATGATGGGGTAAAACCCTAAACATATCTCTTGATACGTAGTAAAGTCAGCAAAGTCTTCAGTTTGTGCATGACTGATATTAAGAATCACACCTTCCATTTTCTAACCCAGGCCTAAGTTTCCCTCCTTCCACTTCCCTCCAAACCCAGGCAGGTGATTATTATAGACAAGGAGGCAATGAAGTTGCTTCAAAATATTTAATACGTGTTGGACACGTAAAGTTACATTTTTATACAAAAATCAATACAACGAAGGAGAAAATACTGTACAAAACCTTATCAGCTCCCCCAACCTTTATACAACAAAGACTGGGGTCACGATATCTACAAAACCATAAGGTCTTTCCACTTAGGGCTTCTGTCTGTAAACTTTGTTTCATTAAACACTTTTTAAAAGCACTGTTTAGTAGTTCTGAGCTACAGCTTTTAAAAATATAACATTTCTCTATAAATTCCATATTTCCAAGCTTGATCTCTTCTGTGAAGTTCATCAAGCTTTTTCCCCTGTAAGGAGGTCACGGTCCCTTAATACTCCCCTTTCCCAGAGTAATCATAGGGCATAAACGTTTCTTCTGTGCTAGAGAACGATGGAGAGAGAGAGAAATTCAAGTCTCTATTGCAGACTAAATCCCCCGAGTCTGAGGAAATCCTGGGAGGAAACGCCACAGGCCCGGCAGGGCTCTAGCTTTCATTTGAGGGGTGTGTGTAAAGTCCCTCCCTCCCCGAAGAACGAAAGGGGAACTCCCCGGCCTCCAACCTTTCTGCCGCTTCCTTTTCTGCGCGGCCGGCGAAGGAAAGTCCCTGTCTGCCCCCGACGTCTTAAGCTCGGGGAAAGGGTGGTGCATTCCAGAAGAACGAAACAAGTCTCAATTCAACAGGACAAACTACAGAAACACAGACACACACACAAACACAAAAGTTAACGATCGTTCTCTTTTCTGTGAGCCCCCAACTGAGGTCTCAAGCGGAGACTCGAGAGCCAGAGAGCATAGCGGGGCTGCCCAGCTCGGGGCCAGTGGATGCTGCCCGGCAGCAACCGATCTCCCCAACGCGCACGGCGCTAGCGGTCTCTGTCTCGGGGGCGTCCTCGCAGCGGGAGCAGCCCAGCCCTCACTCTGGGGACGCCCGCGGCTCAACCTCCGTCCGCACGGGGCCGGGCCTCAGAAGGCCACGATGGCTGTGCTCCAAGGGTTAATGTCTCTCAGCACCGGCTTATCGCAGCAGATCTGCCCGGGCTCAGCGGCTTCCGGGCCGCTCTCCTCTCCCTCCTCCTCTTCCCGGCCGCCCGCAGGGCTTTTCCGCAAGAGTCCGGAGAAGCTGGAACCGAAGATGTTGATGAGGTTCGCCACGTTCCCGGTCTCCATCTCCTCCTCCCCGTCCTCCTCTCCTCCGTCCCGGCGTGGCTTCTTCAGCGGGGTCGAGCAGGGCGCTGCGCAGCCCGCGTGGCCCCTGCCCGCCCCCGCCGCGCCGCGCTTCCTGGGGCACAGGGCGGGCGGCGCGGAGGGCTCCTCCTCGGCGGGCTGTGGCACGCAGCGACCGTCGACACGGGGGATCCGGCCGCGCTGGCCCTCCCGGGCCGGGGGACAGCCTGCCGAAGGCCCCTCAGGGGATACGTCCGAGACACCCACCGGCGCCGCAACGCGTGGTCCCACCACGCGGCCCCAGGCAGCTTCCGCCGTGTCCTCCTCTCGGCGCCGAAGACAGTCTCCGGCTCCGGTCACTGTGGCAGCGGGCTCAGGGTGCCCCGCCTGCGGCGCGTCGGTGGCCGCGGGGCGCTCCGGCTGTGGCTCGGTGTCCGGCCAGGCGGCGCGGGCGGGCGGCGGGGGCGCCTCTCCCCAGCCCGCAGGTGGCTGGGCCGCCGGTTCCCCGGGCTGCGGCATCGGGGTCCCCGCAGTACCCGCCAGGTAGAGGCCGGGGCACGGGTCACTCAGGTAGACCTGGCGGGCGCTGCGCAGCACCAGCGAGACCAGGAGGTTCTTGTGCAGCTTGATGCCGCCACGCTGGACTCGGGAGTTGTAGATCTTGCCGAGGGAGATGCTGACAATGCGGTGAGCCTCCAGCTTGAACTCCATCCTGCCTCCCTTTCCCCGGGCTGGCGCCGGGGTGACGCGGGCGAGCCCCGGCTAACGTTCGGAAGCCCGGAAGAGAACTGAGAGCGTAGATAAATCCGCCGCGGGGAGCACCTTCTACTGCAGAGGGCTTCGAAGAGAAACGACTCAGTGACGTGCGCTGCTCTCTGACGCTCTAACCCACAACTAGCGCCCAGTTTCGAGTCCGGTCGCTAAACTGAGGGCAGTGGGGCGGCCCTGCGCCTTATATAGGAGCCTTGAACGCCAATCACGAAGCGCCGCCAACCGTTCCGGGCTGACCGCCGCGCCCTCGTGCACTGCGCTCAGCCAATCAAAGGTCGAGGAGGGGCGCTAGGGCCTGTTCGAAAGTTAGTCCCGCGGAGCAGGCTCTTAAAGGGGGCAACCAGTCGTTTTGGGGGGGGGGGGTCGAGGGCGATCTTGAGGAGTCAGGCTCTCAGTCTGATTTGTATGTCAAGATTCTGGTTCCTTTGCTCTTGCCAGAACCAAAGCGAAAGGAACTATTTGAACTTTGTATTCAACATGATGATGGACTCTGCTCTGCAATAAAGTCCGGATCCTTGCTTGGGCAAGCCCGCCCCGCCTCCATTTCCAAATGTGCACACCAGAAACGCCAGACCAAAGGTGGCAGAAATGGAGTTGGTGGCACTGCCCAGCATAGAATAGATACTCCCAGGTGGACACATAGTAATTCTATAAGGTATCTGGAAGATAATTAACCTTGTGTAAACCCCCTTGCCACTAGTGAAGTACATTCTTAGCATCTGACAATTCCTATCACAAAGGAAAAGAAGATTCTAGAACTTATTTTGGCTTCTTACCAAGGAACTGTGTCTGTGTACAAAGTTATTGATTCTCATTTTGTTCTCTAGATTCTAGAACAAATCCACTTGCCATGTAGATTAAATGAAACTTTCTCCACAGTGATTTTTCTTCACAAAAATTGACTACTCTTGGGAAAATCTAGAGAGTTCTAAAAATACAAATAAGAGAAGTCCTGTGTTTCCATTATGATATCACAGTTTTCTTTTTGTGGGAAGGTAAAATGTAGAGAAAGATTGTTCTCTAATTTTCTGGTCAATCGACAATTGAGGTTCCTATGTTGACGTTCTCAGTTTATGTCCTAAGGACAGACTCACCACAGGAGTGGACAGGCTTCTGAGCTGGGAAGGTGAGAGTCAGTTCCAGTTTGTCCCTCCTAAGCCTCCACCCAAAGCCCTGCCTGATGATTCTGTGTAAATGGCTTCCAGATCTTTTAGTTTCTGTGAGTCTTAAAGAAGTCACCTACACATGCATCTGTTTCATTATGCAGTAGATAAATGACACTCTCTGTGACAATCTGAATAATAAAAGTAGGCATAGCTTTCTTGAAGCCCACATGGAATAGCTGGCCTACAACACACAGCAATATGTTTACTTAGAATATACACAAGTGAAAGGTAGACTTGGTCAGGGCTGGTTCACAGGATGTCTCTGGAAAATGTGGTGGCTTATCTTTGTCAACAACTTATTGCTGGTAACCAAGGCACAGGCTATGAAACTTAAAGTTCTTCCCCTCTAGGAAATTTCAGCCCACATAGAAAAGGAGATAAAATAATTACAAAACCTAGCATCATATGTTCAGTAATAACATGAAAAGTTTTTATTCTGTTTTCTAGTTCTTTGAGAGATTTACGTCACTATAAAACACTGGTAAAGAATACAGACTTCCTGGTTGGAGAACATGCCTCCACCTCTTAACTTCTGGTGTACCTTCGGAAAGTTACTTCTTTTTGCCTCAGTCTTTTTCATCTGAATACAGAAATAATAGTAATACTGTACCTCTTAGAACAGCACCTGACATATAGTAAGCTGTTAATACACATTCGTTATTAAAACATTACCCCTCACATGATCTTAGGATGACAGAAGAGAAAAAAGGGCATAAATGAGAGAAAGTTTTACCAAAGAAGTGTATTTGAGGAGAGTGCTGAAAATCCCTGAGCTGGAACCCACAAGTTCTACGCTACAGAACAAGTCTGGTGTAGAGAACATCTCATTTAGCAAGTGTGTCAGGAATATATCCAAAGTCAGTGGAAAGATGCTGGAATATTAGGCTGAGGCTGCGTGACAGTGAGTGGGGCAGACATAGCTCAATATGAAGGCCCTAGATTTGGTCCCCAGTATTGGATGCCTCAATGAAGAGATGGGGCCACAGGGACCTACTAAAGCTTAAGTAAAATAACTACAGAATGTATTCTAGATCATTTGGTGGGCTGAAGATTGCTTAATTATAAAATTCTTGTGAGCAATTAGGCAAACGGTCATGAAGGGATGAACTAAGTAGCGGTAGCAAAACTGAAAATACTGAGAGACAAAAAGAAGTGCTTGATGATCACTCACTCACCTGCACAGGTTCTGGATGACAACAGCCTCTTCCTCCTGTGTGCGTTCTGATCACCTTGAGCTGCACTGTCCCACCATCTGCACTGTACACTTTACACTTCTCTGCCTTCATTGTTTTTTCCTGTTATTCCCCGTGTCCTTTCCAGACTGCCTGTCATATCTATAGGCAGATTATAAAGAAAATGTCTAACAACCAGTGAGACATAGCTACTGACTGTCAGAGCAGGGCCCTGGAGGCCCTTACAATGCCACGAGTTATGGAGGGCTCCTGCAGGAGCAGCTGGATGGCAGGAAGTGGGGTGCTCAAGGAGCCGGCCAAGTTCCTGCAGCTGGCATGGAAGCATCTCAGTATTTTGACATCTACAGTGGCCATGCCAGTGGGAACGGGGATACACTTGGATGGGTGGATGCCTAATAATTATGATGTTTACAGGTCCTGGGCTAGTTACTTCACATGCTTTAGCATCCTTGTAAAGGCTTGAGAGTAGATATCATCATCTTCGTTACAGGTGAGGAAACTGGGATTCTGAAAGGTTAAACAAATCTCTCCATGTTGTGCAACTGTGAGAGGCAAGAGTGAATGAGATTCAACTCTGAGTTTATTTAAAGCTTGAGTGCTGAGCTCTGAGTTAGGCTGCCGGGCTCTACCTCTTACTTTCTGTGTGACCTTGCAAAGTTATTCGCCCCTAAGTGAAGTGAAAAAACTGTGTCCTAGTTTTGTGGTGTGGCCAGGTTATATAATCTTTCTGTGCCTCAGTTTACTAGGTAAGATGGGAATGATAAAAATACTTTTAAAACTGGGAGGCTGAGGCAAGAGAATTGCAAATTTGAAACCAACCTCGGCAATTTAGTGAGAGCCTATTTCAAAAAATAAAAAATTAATAAAGGGCTGGGGACATACATCAGGGCGAAGGCTCTGAATTCAATCTGCAGTACTTAAAACAAATAAATATATCCATAATTTAGTACAGTCTGTAGCACTATATCTGCACTTATTAAATCTTAATTATTGCTGTTACGGTTGTTATTATTGTACCAATATACTGTGCCACATAATGGGTACTACATAACTGTCTGCTGACTTAAAATTGAATAATACAACAGTTATTACCAGAATTTCCTCTAACCCTGAGCTTACAAATGGAACTTTTAGAATTCATCTCTGGAGGGCCTGGACATTTAAGATCAAGAAAATTTACTTCTACTGCCAAAAAAGAAATAGCAAACATATTCTTCTAACCTGCCTGTTCCACAGAGGTCTGAGGCCACTCAGGCAGGCCACTTGGGCTCAGGCCTAAGGAGGCCTCTCAGCACAGGGCTGTGGGCCCATTCCCTCTGACTTTACTACCACCCTCAAGGCTGCCTTCATTTGCATGATTAATTGAAGGTTAAATATTACTATCAGATGATTAAAGAATTTATATTGCCTTAAATTGAGTCTAGTCTACACGAAAGCAATGCAAACCCAAACCTGCCATGCGTGACGTTCGTGATAGCATTGTTTAAGCAGTAACAATTAGAAAGGAGAGGATAGGTGAAAAAAGAACAGGCTGACTTTGCTGTCCCTACCTTTCAAGAGGAGGACATTTGGAAAATTTTGGGCTAAAGTTGCTTGAGGCAATTGAATAATCATTTGTATATCAGCCTGAATTCTTTATTTTATTTTATTTTATTTATTTATTTTTGGTACAGGGATGGAACGCAGGACCACGCACTTGGCAGGCAGGCACTTACTGTGAGTGCTGAGCTAAATCCCCATCTCAAGCAGTACCTGGGCTCAGGCCTAAGGAGGCCTCTCAGCACAGGGCGGTGGGCTCACTGCCTCTGACTTTACCACCACCCTCAAGGCTACCTTCGTTTGCATGAGTCAGGTCATGAGTTGGATCCCTGGTACCACCAAAAAAAAAAAAAAAAAAAAATCCCTGGTTCTAAATTATGAGAATATATAAAATACTATATAAAAGATTATTTGTTTTGGGGGCTAGAGGTTTAGCTCAGCGGCATAAGCGCCTGCCTTATAAGCAGGCAGTCGTGAGTTCGATCCCCAGTATTGATAAAAAGGAAAAAGACAAAAAAAAAAAAAAAGATTATTTGTTTCTATAAATATGTATTTGTAGCACTTTAAGCAATACTCTTTTCTGAGAAGAGAAAAATCCACTTTTAAATTTATCCTTTTCTCTCTCTCTATTTTGGATATTTTATACCTTTTTCACCTCTTTGGCTGCTTGATTTCTGCAGAATTTCTTTATACTCAAATAGCGTTGGGCTAAGAATGGGTACCAAAACCTTTCTCCTTCTTCCTCAGTTTCCTGACAGTCCCCTCAGCTTTCTTCTCTTAAATTTTATATCTTTGCTCAAAACCTTACTTTTGTATGATCATCTTTTCATAACCTGCCTCCTTTAAGACTCCCAAGGAAAACAAATTTCTCAATAAGTTGAATAGTCTAACTCATTAAAACAAGCCCAGTCAGAAGTCTCTCAAGGTGCAAACTGAGAAAACACTACCACACGAACCCTAGACTCACACTGTTCGATAGTGGATGCCAGCTATCAAGCACATGACCTGCAGCCAGTGCAACGAAGGAACTATATTTAACTTTTTAAATAAAAGAAATTTTTTGGTACTGGAAATTCAACTCAGAACCTTGTGCTTGCCAGGCAGGCACTTATGCCACTGAGCTATATCCCTGACCCTTAGATTTTAATTCAAAAATTGAAGCAAGGTAAATGTTTTTTCTGAGATCCAACTGTATTGTGTCAAACTTTTGAAGCCTGAAAATCTAAGATTCCCAACTGATGTGAGTTTTAAGTGTAAAATATACACAAC